GAGGAGCAGGAGGAGGTGGAGGAGGAGGAGGAGGAGGAGGGGGAGATGGAAGCCGCGGGGCGCTGCGGACTGGAGACGAGGGCCCAACACCATCCGAGGGCCGGGGGAAAGAACACCAACCTGCTTAGGACACCGCAGGTTGGCTGAGATGGAATCCTTGCCCTCTCGGGCGAAGAGAGAGAGAGAGAGAGAGAGAGAAAGAGAGAGAGATGAACGCACATACGCCGATCCTGGGATCGGTGCATTCGCTGGTTCGAGAACTGAGCTCGAGAGTCCCTACTGGCAACATGTCAACTCGACATCCTATTGCAGCTATCCCGCTCAACTCAGAGTTTTGCCTTCTCCTGCCTATCCTCCTCCGCCTCTCCCAATCCTCCTCCCTCATCCCCAGAATTGATCTCTGCTCGCCCTGCGCAGAGGACGCGTTCAACCTGATCTGCTACCTGGCTTTCCTCGCTCACGCCTTCAACGCCGATCGCACGATCCGCCTGTCCGATTGGTACAAGGAGATCGGCTGGCGGTCGTTCCCGAACTGCGACAAGCTCAACGGCTACGTCTTCTTCCTCTTCTCCCAGGCCCTCGCCGCAGCCAGCGCCGCGACCCGTGCCGCGACGTGGAATGCCCCTCATGTGTTGGGTTTCTCCCGTCCAGGGGGCCGGCCGCGGCAGGACCCCCAGAGGCAGCGGGAGGGAAGCACCTTGCCTTTGCCTTGGTTGTTTTGCTCGTGACGGCGGGGTCCTGGGCGGGGCCAGGGCCAGGACAGGGTGAACCGTTCCAGAGGCTCAAGAAATGCAAACGGGGGTCAGCCAGGGCACCGGATCCTGCAGGGTCCTGCGAAGACCCCCTCTGGCTGACCCGGGTCAGCGAGCCGCTCGTGGCCGCGAGGCGGCCGCGCACATTGGCTGACCCGGGTTTGCGAAGACCTGCGTTGCAGTTGTTTTTTCCTTGCATTGCAGTTTTGGGGGTTTCCTGCTGACCCGGGTCTGGATGGACCCGGGTCGGAAGATCCCCAGACCGTTCCAGAGGCCAGGACAGGATGACCCGATGGACGGTTCCGGGGCCAGGACAGGATGAACCGTTCCAGGGGCCAGGATGAAGCCATTCCAGGGCAGGGGTCAGCCGTTCTGGGCGGGGCCAGGGGAGGACGAGCCGTTCCAGGGCCGGGGAAGGAGAAAGCGTTCCAGAGCATGCTGGAGCGCGCTCAGGCCCTTCCGTGCTCTGAGCAGGCCGCGGCGCCCGAGGCACCCTCCAGAACCGCCAGATCTCAGAGGTCCCCGAGAGTTGCCCTTGTCCGATTCCGTCCCTGTCATGGCTTCGACGGGAAAGGGTTTTGTTGTTCACCCTGAGGGCCATAACGCGCGTTATGCCCCCTGCCCTTCCCCCCCCCCCTCCCCCCCCATAACGTAGCGCTGCCCACCTCAGTGCGCCCCCAGCACTGCCGCAGTGCGTCCAGCACCACAGTCTGGGGGGTGGGGGGCCAGAAGGGGCTCCAGCGACACGGGGTGAAATAGATTTGGTGCAATCGATATGTGGGGTTGCCATAGATTTGGGGCGTGCACTACATTCCGGTGCGCAAAGGTACTGCTGGGCTTTCGTTGCAAAACGATGCAATCCAATTTTCTGGCGCAGTGCATTTGCAATACAATTGCCCCAAACCTCTTGCACCACTCCCTTTCAGCTGGATCCCCTTTGGGGTCAACCAAAATAACGCACGGTATGGCCGCGAGTGGACAATTGCGCTCCAGGGGCGGTCATGACCGACTCCTGGCGAATCGACCCTTGCAGTGTCGACCTCCCTCGCCGCCGTCCCGAGGCGCTGCGGCAGGGGCCCAGAGGCGGGGGCCTCGAGGGCGAGGGGGCTCGCCGCAGAACGGGTCGGTTGAAATACCCAGCGGTCTCGCGGAGCCTGATAGAGGAGGGGGAGGAGGAGGAGGAGGAGGAGGAGGAGGGAGGAGGAGGAGGAGGAGGAGGAGGAGGAGGTAGGAGGAGGAGGCGGAGGAGGAGGAAGGAGGAGGAGGAGGAGGAGAGGAAGGAGGAGGAGGGGAAAGGGGGGAGGAGGAGGAGAGAGGAGGAGGAGGAGGAGGAGGGAGGAGGAGGAGGAGGAGGAAGGAGAGGAGGAGGAGGAGGAGGAGGAGGAAGGGAGGAGGGGGGAGGAGGAGTAGGAGGAGAGGAGGAGGGGAGGAGGAGGAGGAGGAGGAGGGAGGAGGGTAGAGGAGGAGAGGAGGAGGAGGGGAGGAGGAGGAGGAGGAGGAGGAAGAGGAGGAGAGGAGGGAGGAGGGGGAGGGGGAGGGGAGGAGGAGGAGGAGGGAAGGAGGGCGGAGGAAGAGGAGTAGGAGCGCCGTGGCGCCCAGAAGGTGTGGGGGGGGGGGGGGGGGGGGGGGGGGCGGCGTGGGCCGCTGTTTTGAACCATCGGGAGGACACACTGCTGCGGGGAGGAGTGCTAGGATGGGAAAAGCCGAGGTCCGCACGCTGGGGACTGGTCCCCCCCCAAGACGACGAAAACCTTCCCGAAACCCTTTGAAAAGCCTCTTGGAACCCTTCACGGAGGGTCCTCGGAGTGTTTCGGGAGGGTTTCGGCTGTTTTGAAAGGGAGCCAGTCCGTAGCGAAACCTGGACTTTCTAATTCTACGTAGGAGGTAAAGAAGGAGGGGGGCGGAAGAAGAGCACACTGGCAGGAACGCAGAACTGTCAGAGGTCCTGGCGGATCTCTTGGGTCGGCGCCGGGGCCTCCTGCAGGCAGCCTCGGGGAGCAGCTCCGATCCACGAAATTCGCGTGGTTGTCCGAAGCTTTAGCTTTATGCATGTGTATTTCTTCGAGCGAAGCAGGGAGCGAAGGAGGAGGGGAAGCAACAGGGGGAGGAGGCGAACAGCGACGTGGCAACGGCGCGTCGCCGCTCCCGGAGCGGCACGGGGACCGCAGCGCCGGAGCGACCCTCCAGCTCGGTCTGGAGGCCCCCGCCTGTCTCTGGGGCGCGTCTGCAGGGTGGAGCATGGACGCACCTCCTGGTCCGCTGTATCAGAGACCACAGCTTGAAACATATGTATCGAGTTTTCAAATCTTGTATGCTTCTTTCCGAGGTGACGATGGGGGCGACTAGCGCGGGGGCGGGCGTTACACGCATTCGCCCGGGAGCCTCGCCGAAGGCATGGACCATCGGCGCGATACATGTATTGCTTCCCCCCTGGGCTATTTGCCCCCCTCGTCGCCTCTGATCCTCAGCAACTTATGTCCACACTCCGCCGTCCCCAAAAGGTAGGAGCAGGCACCGAAAAGGCACCTTTTTCACAAAGGCACATGCTCTACACACGTGTTGGTGCCGAAGAGCATGCTACCATTAAATCGGGCCTGTCCCTCTACATGAGGAGCATGCAAAAACAATCAAAAAATAGTCTGGGGACGATTTTTCTGATTTTGCTTGTCAATTTTAGGCGTTTTTTGTGCTGTTTTCTTGGTCCGTCCAACATCCCCCTGTAGGGGGCACAGGCCCGACCTAAGGCTACCATGGAGCTCGTCGCCCCAGGAGCGTGCTCCGAAGAGAGCATGCCGGGGGCCCGCTCGTCGCCCTTGAGGAATTTCACGGCCCAGCAGCTGCACTCCATTGATGTCGCGAGAGCACTTCTCACCATCGACTCAATGCGACGCGCCACCTGGGAGAGGCAGAGCTAGGAGTTCGTGAGCAGCGCTTGGCAGGCAGGCCCCCGTGCAATCTGCGCTTAGGCAGGCCTGTCGGGAACTGCTGGTCTGCTTATTCGCCGCTTCGATGCTCGCCATGCAGGAGGGAGAATCGCCATCACACTCCACATCCCTCCCCCTCCCAACACCAACAGTAGAACAGGCACCCTCTCACAGGGGCACGTGCTCTCCACACGCGCTCACGAGAGGCACCCTCCATCGAAGAGGCATTCTCTCACGACGGGCACCCTCTCGCGAAGGGCACCTCCGCAAAAAGGGCACCTTCGCACAAGAGGCACCTTCGCATGAAAGGCACCTTCGCACGAAAGGCACCTTCTCACAAAGGCACGTGCTCTATAATGGAGGATGACGATTAATAGATGACCGGGGGTCGTGTTCACGCGGCGGCGCCCGGGATGACGATTAGAAAAAGCCGGCCGCGCGCTGGACAACTGCTCTTTTTCATCGTGCTCCCCCAGTCAGGAAATCGTCCAGAAATAGCAGAAAACTGTTGTTTTTCCATCGTTCTCCCCCCCCTTTTTGCTGTTCATCGCCAGCCCGCAGTACATGCTCACAGAGGCACCTGCGCACGAAGGGCACCCTCTGACGCAGGGCACGCGCCCCTCACGCGCTGCTGGCGCCGCGGGGCCGGCGCGCCCGCGTGCCCGCCGCGCTCCGCGCTCCCCCCCGCGGGGGAGGGGGGGGGGGCGTCGGCCCGCCCGGGCCCGGTGCCCCTTCCGCTCGGCCTCCCTCCTCCCTTGGTTGTCGGGGGCGGAAAAGAGGGGGGTGATGAATAGGGGGGGGTGGATATCATGGCGTGGGCCATGATATTTCCCCAGATCTCATGGCGCCTCTTCTTGTTCCATTACGTCCCTGGCCCCCCCGCTGGGCCGCGCACATGCCGCCGGCCATGATTTGCACCCCCCTCTCTTGGACACCCCCCTCTTGGCCGCTCCCGAGGTTGGGGCGGTGCCTCCTGGAGGGGGTCGGCTAAAACGACGCGAGGATCGGGACAAAATCGGATCGGGACAACTCGAAATCTCTGAGAATCGGCGGGTCTGGAGGAGGTATTGGGCGCCGCGGCCGCTCCAGAGCGTTCCGGAACGCTCCGAGAGCGCTCCGGAACGCTTTGGAGCGATTTATCCCGATCCTAGCCCTGTTTTATCGGCGTGGGTTTTTCAGCCGGGCCTGTCCCTCTACTTGTCAGGAGGGAAGCAAAAACACACAGACACAATTCATCGTCGATTCCCCAGAAGATCTGGGAAAATATTGGAAGTGGGGGGGAAGACAAACAAAAACAGGAAATATGGGAAAACGTGGGGAATCCTGTTATTTGTTCGTATTTATTTGTGTGTCCTTGGGCCCCTTGATCTACAGGGGGGGAATAGTCAAGAATAGGCAAAAATAACATGGGGGCGATTTTTGTTACTATCCGTTGTTGGGGCGATGCCTCCTGGGTGGGGTCGGCGCGGATGTTTCAGTCGGGCCGGTCCCTCTACAGTGGGGATAAGATAAAGCATAGTTATAAAATAGTCTGGGGACGATGTTTGGACCATTTTTGAATCGTGTTGGCGTATTTGGGGGGTCTTTCTTATTCTTCGTCCCAAATCCGCCTGTAGGGGGACATGCTCGACCTAAGAGTAGATGGGGTCGGAGGATCGCGCCGCGTCGCCGATGCATCGCCGATGCATCGGGGACGCGGCTCGATGTGGAGCCCAGTTTTCTCTGCGCCGACGTCGACGATGCATCTCCGACGTCGCAGGAGCATCGCCGATGCATCGCCGATGCATTGGCGATGCGGCGCGATCCTCCGACCCCAGCTGCTCCGACCCCATCTAGGAGATTTCTCTGGATGCCACCGCCCACCAAACCACCCCAACCCAACCCGAAGGCCCCGATTTGACCTCCATTTCCAGTGGCGGGTGGGGGGTCGGGGACCATTGAGAAAGTTACATATGAGAAGCCCGCCCCCCCCCTCAACCCGAAGTTCGGGCCTTCGGGTTGGGTTGGGCATGTCTGGGCAGGTCAGTCAGGATGGAACAGTCAAGCGCAGAAGCAGCGCCCGCGAACAGCACGCCAGGAACGCCAGTCTTGCCCAGATGAGACGACGCCGTTCCTCAACATTCAGGAGCGAAAGAAGGACGTACACGTACACGAATCCATGTCGGTTTCCAGAGTACGCAGTGCGAGAATGTTCGTATCACGCGGCCGGTCTCGCGGATCGAGGGGCCGTGTTCACGTACACAGTTGGGCGCGTACGTCCTATGTGGGCTCGCTAAACGTATGCGCGCCCGGCGGCATCCGCCCGCACGGCGGTGAATTTGGAGGAGTGTCAGGGGATGTCGTGTCGCCGCGGGCCCTGCGCAAGCCGACGGCATCAATCCCCATCCGACCTCCAGCTCGCACAGCACACCACCACCACCATGCCCGCCTGGGGCCCGCCCGGGAAGGATGGTGCAGAGCCCCTCCTGGCCTCGGCCAGGAGGGCATGCGCAGCACCCCGCAGTTGCGGATAAGAGTGAGGGGGCGGCGAGGACGTCGGCAGTCTGCGAGGCTCTGAAGAAGCCCGCCACAGGCGCCTAACTTTTACAAATCATGCAGTAAGCCCACCGTAGGCAATGTGGTTGGGTCGCGGGTGGGTCGCGGGCCCGGTCGCGGGTGGGTCGCGGGCAGGTCGCGAGTGGGTCGCGGGATAGGTCGCGGGCGGGTCGCGGGCGGGTCGCGGGGTGGGTCGCGGGTTGGGTCGGGGGTGGGTCGCGGGTGGATCGCGGGTTGGGTCGCGGGTGGGTCACCAGTGGGTCGCCAGTGGGTCGCGGGTGGGTCGCGGATGGATCGCGGACAACAAACAGCAACAACAACAACAACAACGACAACGACAACGACATGACACCGACAACGACAACGACAACAATAACAATAACAACAACAACGATAACAACAACGACAACGACAGCAACAATCATTTTAACACTGTTCGCTCCGACCTGCTCACGTGCCAATCGATACGTATACGACGTATATCCCAAACCCTCGGTACCCGCCTTCGTCGTCTTCGGTCGTACCCCCTTGGGGGTATATCTTACCTGCCACGCGCATGTAGTGCAGCCCCTAGAGCAAGGGAACAGAAGACGGGTTGAAGCGGGAGGGAGAAGAATGGAGCACGTGAGAAATCAGCAGGAGGGGGGCAAGCTGCATAAAGCAAATGGTATAACCAGACGGGCAGATCGGGTGGGCAGACCCATAGCGGGCAGGTCGGGAAGGCGGGCCCCGGCGACCAGGTCGAGCAGACTGGTTGTGGGTCAAGCATGAATCGCGAGGAAATCTCGAGTGATAGCGCGATTCCCAAACAAATTGTGAGAGAAGCCAAAGCGAGAGCGTGATTCCTGAGCGCCGAGGGCGCATCGTCTGAACAAGCCGAGCGCGATTTGGGAACACATTGTGAGGAAGTATCAGGCGAGAGCCGATGTTGTTGTAAACTTGGGGCCAACGACATAGCTCGAGCCCCGTGACTTTCCTTGATACGAACACAGTGTGCGAGCCCCAGGGGAAGCATGTCATTTGAAGAAACAGTGGTCACCGGAGGGGGGGGGATCACCGATAATTGTTCTTTAGTAGTCAGGGCCCAGCAATAACAGCACCACCGCCAACAGCAACAACAACAGTCATGTTAAGACTTCTCGCTCGTATTGGCACGCGTGTCTTGCAGTTTGTATAGGTATCCCAACCCTCGAGACTCGATGCCCGCCCACTTCGTTTTCGATGACACCCCTTTCCGGGGGGGGATCTATCTTCCTTGTCGGCCAGTGACTGAAGGGCGAGGACCTCTCGAGCGAGTGCGCCGTTCCTGAGCTCTGGCCAGGGGCTCTCGGAACACACTTGAGTCGTATCGAGCGGGAACCTCTGTCGCCTCGCCGTGTCTGGGCCTCCACCAGCCTGCCTGAGTTGCGAGCAAGTCTCGAGCGTTAGCCTTTCGCTCGAGTTCGGGAGCCTCTCTGGCAAGGGCTTCTGCGAATACATCTTGAGGAAGTATCGGACGAGGGCCCTCGTCGTCGTGGCTCGGCCTCCGCCAACTTGATGGAATTGCGAGGAGATCTCGAGCGAGAGCGCCGTCCCTGAGTTCGGGGGCATTCCTGGCCGGGGGCTCTCGGAGTAAATCGTGAGGAGCTATCGAGCAGGAGCCCTTGTCGTCGTGGCTGGGCCTCCGACAACTTTATTGAATTGCGAGGGGATCTCGAGCAAGAGCGCCGTCCCTGAGTTCTGGGGCCTCTGGCCAGGGTGTCTCGGGGTAAATTGTGATGAAGTATCAAGCGGGAACCGCTGTCGTCGTAGCCAGGCCTCCAAGGACACACACAATCAAGCCCGCGCTCGATTGGGAGCCTCGTTTTCAGAGGAATTGCGGCCGGATTCGAGGCGAGAGCGCGCGGAACCGTTTCCAGATACCAGCAATAATTGTTCTCCAGAAATTTCAGCCACGCGCCCAGGGACAGCGAACGACCGTTCGGCCCCCTCACTCTGATAATATATGATGTATACCGTGTCGGGGACCAGGATGGCCCAGGCCAGGAATGCGGGTGGTGTGTGCGGTCGGGAATTTTGGCTCAGCATGTCGCGCAGCTGGTGTTGGCCCACGACGCTGCTCCGAAACGCTCTGACCACTGACCACTTCCCAGTCCTCAGCCGCCAACGTCCCGCTGTCCGCCCGCAGGGTATGGCGTGCCACTGGAAAGCCAAGGACCGTACCATTTCGGATCGTTTGCGACTTGAGGATGGCGACATTGTTCCCCTCCACGTGAGGCGTCAATACACCACCGCCACCACGCCTGGCTTGGCCCGCCTGGGCCTCATGATGCTCCATAGGCTTTCGGATGGCCTCGGCCAGGAGAGCATGCACACCACGCCGCGCGGCCCAGGGCGGCCCTGACCCACGAACGGTGGTGGGGCGGTGCGCGTGACACCTCCTGCTCCGGGAAGATGCCGCAGAGAGGTTCCGCCCTTTCTTCGAGGAGCCGCAAGCTTCACAGGCATACCCATCGGTCGTTGAGAGCAGGAATGTTTGAACCCCCAGTTCCCGGTCTGCTCTCGGCGCCTTTCTGCTTCCATCGGGTGGCTTCCCCCCCTCTTCCCTCCTCTGTCGGGGGCGGGCGGGTACCCAATCTACTTCTGACGCCTCCATACTTCACGTTTCTGCCTTCTGCTTCTACTTCTGACGCCTTCTACTCCTGCTTCTACTTCTACTTCTACATCTGCCTACCACTTCTACTTCCGACTGCTTCTACTACCTGATACTTCTACTTCTACCTCCCTTTCTACTTCTACTTATGACACCTCCCTAACTCATGTGTCTGCATACTTCTTCCGACCGCTGGGTGAACGTGTTGAGCTCCGCACGGCTTTTCCTGGATCTGCGCTGGGCGCCCTTTTGGCGCCGCCCCCGGCGGCGCCGATCCACGAGATCCGCGCGGGCCTCCCAGAGTTTCTGGTTATGAAGGTTCTGGTTCCTCCATCTCCTCCTCCTCCTCCTCCTCCTCCTCTTTTTCCTCCTCCTCTCCCTCCTCCTCCTCTTCTCCCTCCTCCTCCTCCTCCTCCTCCTCCTCCTCCTCCTCCTCCTCCTCCTCACCCTTGACCCCTCCAGGTCCGCAGGTTCCGCCTGCGTGTGAGCGAGTCGCGTGTGAAGAGGTACATCCAGAAGCTGTGCAGCGTGCCCAGCCAGGTCTAGGCCTCCCAGAATGGGGCCCGAGTAGATGCGGTCGGAGGATCGCGCCGCGTCCTCCGACGCATTGGCGATGCTGCGCGATCCTCCGACCACATCTACTCGGACCCCATTCTGGGGGGCCTCCACAGGCACACGCCCAGGGCTGAGGCGACGGCGGCCATGGGGCCGCCGCCCTGGCCTGCGGGCGACGGGCGCGAAAGGCGCCAGGCGTGCCCAGCCCGTGCGCAGGGCCGGGGCTGAGGGCGCACCAGCGCCAGGACCTGAGGCCCGGGCGCCGCACTCCTTCCTCGGCGGTGGAGGGTTTCTCCGAAGGCCTTAGGCGACCCCTCCTCCTCCTGCTCCTCCTCCTCCTCCTCGTCCCCTCCAGTCCTCCTCCCTCCTCCTCCTCCTCCTCCTCCTCCTCCTCCTCCTCCTCCTCCTCCTCCTCCTCCCTCCTCCTCCTCCTCCTCCTCCTCCTCCTCCTCCTCCTCCTCCTCCTCCTCCTCATCGGGTCGCCTGCGGCCCCGGGGGAAACAGCGCACCACGGCGGGCGTTCTCGCGCAGCCTCGGGCGCGGGCGGACCCTCCAGAGCGTTCCCGAACGCCCTCAGAGCCTTCCAGAGTTTCCAGAGCGCT